TCGGCAGAAAAATACAGTCAAATGAACGACCGCATGCTTTTCCTGCATTGGGACCGGTTTGCGGCGAAATAAAGTGAGCACCTGGAGCGTTGGTCACATTGTATACTAAGATCCTATCCGTGCGGAGAGCTAACGCTAACGAAGTGGAAATAACGGACACAATAGCTCCTGCTCAGATGTTAGGTTATAGTTTTGGTTCCCATGGCCACTTACAAAAGCTCGGAAATATCTTTAAAACTTACCAAGCCCAAATGCATCATCGTTAGGGAATGGATTCATTACCAGGAATTTCTTCCCGTTGCAAGTTGGGGGTTTTTGGCGCCTGTAGAGATACTCTTGTGTGAATTTTGTTAACGGTGGCAGGTCCTATATGATCACAAATTTGGTGATCAATGATTTTAGCCTGCTAGTTGGGAGGTATGTGGGCTTACTTCTGCATCAAGATCTGGAAACCATTTCCGCCATTCCTCTTGTGTTCCAAGACTATAAAATTGATCGAACTTCTCTTTTCGGCCTCTCAGATTTACACCTTTGCCTCCTCCGTGACCATCACCAATGCTACTAACATCCTCGTCGTATGTCTGATTGGGGTGCAGAACAGTATCAAGCAATGCCTTCTGAGTTTTTGAAAGTTGTGCGAAGTAATCCTCTTTCCTAGGGTTATTTATCCAATGATTGACATTTCCTCGTCATCGCCCTCAGGATCGATCACCTGCTGGCAGGTTGGGAACTTGTCATTATCAGAATTGATAATAGTATCAGTGGATGTAATGGGTTTCAATGGGGCACTCGTCGAAATGGGCACGACTGATGGAGTGGCAGCGTAGGTCGTGGTTTCAGCTGTAGACTGAGTGGTATGTATACCCGTTGGATTGTTGAATTGATGAGAATCCTGAGGAAATAGATATGGAAAGGAACTGGCATCTGGGGATAATGGATAAAGAAAATAGACAAGCTGATGCAAGCAAAAAAAGGAATAAAGCTGGGCGTATACTAGTTCATAAATAAGGACGTCAGCCCCGGCATCCGATTACTCCAGACTGGGTCTTGATTGCATACCTAAAACGGCGTGAAATCATCGTGCCCAGATACCTCCGCCAAAAGGCCCGACTTTTAGGGTTGTTGCTGGCGGATGGCTTGGACTAGAATTGGTACTTTCCAACTCATCGAATAGAGCCAACAACCATGATATATATATCGCTTACGCCTCCGCCCCCATCGCTATGCAAGATTTCAATTGCTAGATTCAGACATATACTAGTGGCTAGTATTATGTCAGGGACTCGTCCAATCGCTGAAGACCCTGGTGTTCTGGTCTAAATCCATGGGATTGAATAGCTACAGTATGCGTGCATACGTGGTCAGTACTCCAGGTCTACCTAGGAAACAATGGAAAACTGTTCAGAAAACGACTGCTTGAAGTATCTCTGCCAATTGCAGAGCCAGTGGAATGTCGATATACATAGGCTAAAGCACGCGCAACCTTAAGTTTGGGATTGATATCCCACCTGGACACAGAAGTCCCATTCACACTTCTGCTAGGGGGTTATATGGTGTAGCCTTTAAAAGTGGTGGACGCACTTGGGTTCAAGTGCTGCTTTCAATGCACTGAGTCAACAAGGACCAAGTTAATCTCGGAGCACAGACGTTATTCAAAGGAGCTTCCGGATGAATGACTATTGATCCCTGTCAAAGATGACTCTTTCAGCACATCACCCATAATTCCATAATTCCATCAGGTCTAAGTCGCAGGGAATTCTGCAAAACCTCATCCGAGCGATTCTTTACGAATCTAGATGTGATGAGCATACATAAAGTAAAGATGTAGGTATGCCTTACTCACTCGGGCCCGGCACAGAACAGCAGGGGAGAGAAGGTTTAGTACAGTTTTCTCGATTTTAGGACACTTTCTAGAACATATAAGGTGTGGAGAAGGCACATAAAAGGTCAAGGTGAGAGTGCCGTCTGTAGCAAATTACCCTGTCATCCCGGGTATTTTATGTTGACCTGAGTACCTATCACCTGGGGTCTAGCCGCCCGAAATTTGCATGCTCTAAAGTCGACACTAGCCCTGGTCAAGAACAGGATCACAGCCAAGGATGTGGACTTCTATACTCTAGGTACAATCGCTTCCTAGACGACAACAATGGGACATCTCAAAGTTGCTTAGGATAAACTTCATTTACCCATGAGTTAAATCGCATCGGGACGAAGATGGTTTCCTTGCAGTCGATCCACGTGGAAATGGGGAAGAGATCATGGCGCACACTCACCAAATGAGGAAAACACCTTTTTGACCCTACTCGTTCTACGTGGGATTCTATCCTGTCAAGCTATAATTTCGGGTGTCCATTAAGCGATAGAGGCTGTAACCGAGAAAACAGCCTCCAAAGGAATTTCTCCTCCTGTGCAACTGAATCATACGATCACAAAAGCTGATGAAGGTTCTTGACTAGGGCACCATTCAGACCATAGTTTTGCAACTTTAGGTATTGGTTACTCAGATTAAGACTGCACTGCAGGCACGCCCGAAAGAAGAAACTCGGAAACACTCACTGTGGCTTTTTATCTTCCCCAAGATCAAGCCCAGCATTTCGGCAATGATTCCATAAACTCCTTCGGCTTCTTGATTACATTATATCCGGACCCCACCGTACCAAGACAGACCTTGGTGTGCCTCCCATTATCTAGGTTCCCAGACCTGGTTCCCGGTGATTTTGATTGAACACACATTTCGCGTCTTGTGGCGCGGTAAGTCGGAATTAGTCTCCAGTCTCTGTGAGATATTCGTAAGGTAGCCTTCTGCCCTTTTTTATGTTTTGCAAATGCAAGTGTTTTTGAGGGTTTTATGGAACATGGACTGTGAACTTAATTAACACACCTTGTAGCCACTAGAGATGAAGTTCAACCGAGACCGTAAATTACATAGAACTTGAAGTTAACTCCTCGCAACTTCAAGATCCACATATAAAAAAGTGCTCACTTGGTGGTCAGCTTTGCTTTAGATAGTTCAGTCGAAAACTGGTAGGTATTGTTGCATATTGTAGCCTTGTGCCCATCATTGACCCTCTTTTCCCATAATACGACTTAAGGTCATGACGAAGTCCCGTATAATGGTTCCGCAGCACATTCGGGGCAGGAAGCAGGTCGTGTGTATTTGCCTGTCTGGAGATTTACCGTCATGTGGGTGCTTATTAAGTTGTCTACAACCTGTCTAGGAATTTTCAGTCGATTTTCACCCGGTACCTTTAGAATTGGTGTGATCTAATATTCGAATATTCTAGACATGAATTTGCAAATAATTTCAAATTCTAAATACCCCATATTATATTGAGTTCCGGCAACTTTTGGTGGTGTATTAAAGGCTGATTTCTAGTTATAGATGAAAAAAATATCCAACACTTTTTAGGCTTTTAGCCCTATGATAATGATCATGATTAAGGCAGGCCCATAGCTGGTTGCAAAAAAGCGCTTAAAGTACGAGTATTTATTACATATTCGATACACCAAGATACCAACTACAATCCACTAAACCCGATTTTGCCTTGAAAAGCCCGATTCTGAGTACCTCTCTCGTTGTTACTGGTGACACATATGGGTAATACTGAACATTGCAATATAGCCGGAACGCTTCAGTCTTAGAAAGCAAAGTTCTGACACATGCATAGCGTTAACACTATACCGACTATACACATACATAAGTCGTAAATCCGCTAAATTATCACAACCATACTACGCAAGAGACCTTTCAAGCTAGCATTGGTGCCTATATTAGCTACAAGCATTCCATCTTGCTCTTGACCACCTACATGGCGATGGACTTCATGGCCAGCGGGGACTATTCACGGAGAACCGTGGATCCGAAGGCGAATATCGGACAACGGTTTGGTTACAGATGCTTCTACATTAGGCTTGCCAGGCTGACCGATAACGCATAACGCGCACCTTAATGGTTTTCACATGATGTAGTGATCCATTACACAAAGATTTCAGGATCCTGATCATTGATGTAGTTGAACCGTGAGTTGTTTTGCAAGGCACTATGGGGCTTCTCGATCTTATCGTAGATCTAGACGTATTCCAATTACTTTCACCAGGCCTTTTTGAAGTTAGCAGGCATTAGCTCCCGATTCTACAGGCTGAGGTGATGGGACCATAATTCGACTCTGGACAGATGCAGAGAAGGGATGGTGACAGGCAGAACATGGTCTTTCAGCTTAAGGACAAGTATTTACATACCAGGGTGAACTAACTCCTGCCCATAGCTTCGGAGAATTTGACTCCCCGGGCATTCCTTGTAAATACATATCATCACGACGCAGCGATGGCCTTCCGCAGCAATTCAGGGTAACCCCATGTAGGCACGCAACAACGTAATAACGGAACTTCCACCGCATTCGTTCCCAATGCCAATTAAATGCCGAAATTTGCCAACATGAATTCAGTATCCATTGCCATGGACTCAAAGCTTGCCCGTACTTCAAATGTGCTCTGAATATAAATCTCAATGATCAAACATCCGCAGGTTCGAAAGAGTGGTGCAAAATACTCCCAACATACAACTTTGTATCACGATGCCATGATTCATGCCACCCTGAGCTTCTAGCGCTACCAAGCGATAATATTACTTGTGACTTAATATCTCAGCTTTAATGTGTAGCTGTATGTACATACTCATGAGCTATAGTGCAGGATTGTAGTAGCATCTCTGAACCTTAGTGTCACTGGACCAAAAACTAATGACCTCGAACTTCAATCTCTTAAAATTATGGAATGCGCTTTCTACATAACATAGAATGTACCTCTCTGCTCTGGGAACTGCGATCTTGGCTGATTGTAGTAGCAATGATAGGCTCGAAGTGGGGAGGCCCTCGCCATTTAAAGAAAAACATTCGTATCAAAATTTACTGCTATTGCTTGTCCTTTGGTAGTAGCAAGTATACACGCTTGCAGTTTACAGCTAACGGGGCAGGCGTTCATCGGTAGAAGGTAAAAGTAAACTCTTTGGCGGGGAATTGAACTTCGCCCGCGAGCCTGATCAGATAATATTGGCAGGCGGGAATACTTACCACTATACTATCAAAGATTGGGTGACTATCGGTTCTAAGATAATTTGAGCTTGTGTTTTTAGTCAACTGCTTGCTTTTTTCTAGCCTCGATGCTTACAGTCATACAACTCTGTGAGCATGCACCTTGGAAGTGAATCACATGATGACTCACAATTGCATCTGCTGAGGCAAAGGTTGATCTCGATTTGTACGCAGTAAGTTACGGTAAACATGAATATGAGGCTCAAGTGCTACTACATGTAGCCCTAGGGATCTAGAAGCTAGCTCAATCTAAAATCAGTTTCAGCAGGTCTATATCCCGTGACAAAAGCTGAAAGGCTGCATTATAATCGACGAAGTACTACGGCTATGTTCACCCCCCCCATGTGCGTAACAGCAACTTAGCCCTCACAATCATAATTGGTTGCCCTAGTCTGCAAAGGTCGTATATCTACCTGTTGAGGCCAAAGCGTGTATGCATGCACTAAGTACGCGCGCTATAGGGAAAATAATATCATTTTTTTACTCAGAAGATCGATATCGACCATGGGGCCATGCCACATACATATGTATCAAGACCTATAGGGGAACTGCAAGCGGCAGACTTCGTCGAGGAATTGTTTAATCCCGTGAGTGTTTTCTAGTCTCGTATATACATATTCAGGTTACAATCATGCCACCAGTGCTGTCATGGAACACTACTGTAGCGTTTATAACTTCTAAATTCGGAGCTGATGTCTTTAATGCACACGAGGGTCGATCTATCTGTATGTAGATGTGTTGCAACTTTTCTATAATTATTGGATAGATGCCGTGATACGCCGGATGTCCCAAGGAGCACAAAGATTGCAGACCCGGCATCGTGGGATTCTCGCCATGGCACCATATAGAACAATATAGCTACACATACGTGTATACCTTATATGAACACCTTTATATAATTTCCACTAAGACTCACAATCTTCACAATCTTCAGCCAAAAACAACACTGTACAGTTGTCAGTCTATACAGATGTTGACACATTGTCGTCCATTGAAGGACGTCGACCGATCTGCAAGTGGTGAAACCCAGCTCCAGCGTCAGCCAACCAGGTTCCCCAAACCCGTAGCGTTAAAAATGAGAAAGAATCCCCAAAGCTAATGGAAGATCACGCGGCATCGATCTAAACTTGCTCTATCTACTTCAGTACACCTGTATCATCCTAATTTGGGCCTACTTGTTGGAGACATATCCATGTCCATATCCGGCATGTACCCCTGGAACACCAACGACAACGTCAGGTTTGAAAGGGCTCTTGATTGCTCACTTTTATTATATTACTCACGCGGAGAAAGATGTCTTAGGTTTTAATGTCGCAGGTGGGAAGATTGTAAGTGTGACCGATATCAACATGGTATATATAGTGACTTGCGAATACGTACGTCGTTGTCGCAATTACTAGGGTGCACGACACCTATTTAAAGACAGCTGAGCCGCCACTATTAAACAAGCCTCCAACATCTCTATCGAACAAAAACACCATCAAATTAACAGCCTGCACTATAAAACTACCTGGTGGCCACAAAAATGCCTGTTCAAACCCGTTCTCATGGCCGCCCCGCCGATCCTTCTCTCACAACTAGAATCAAGAAGGCACTAAACGGCACATCAACGAAACCCCGTGCAGCCCCCAAGAAAAGCACTACCCCAAGGAAGAAAACTGCGGGTATTACCAAAACCACCCACTCAGAAAGCGCTCACAAGCATAAGCACAAGCCAGGACTTGTGGACAAAATCGAGGGAGTGGCCCTCAAGATTGAGGGCGCCATTACCCGGAGACCAGGGGTAAAGGTAGGATAATTACCTCATTTACTTGTTACTCCACAGACTTGAACATTTCTTTTTCTGCCTACCCGCTGTACCCCGCTTTTTCTACCGGGGATAGTATAGGATGAAAAACGCTATCAATATATTGCAAGTTTGTCCACTAACCGTAAGACCCTGGTGTAGGCTGCTGGAACAAAGAAGATCCGAGGAACAGATGGAAAGAATTCCAACACTCCTCAAGGTGTCAAAGTACCTCATTAATCTTCATGCACGATCAACACTCTCGTCCGACTTTATTCCTGTTTTCCTTCCGTTTGGCGTCTTAGGCGTCTTGGTTAGTGTTTTTGGTCCTGGCACTCTCGTGTGCATCGGAGGTTGGTAGGTATATATGTAGTACAGGCCTAGGGAGCAGATATATGGAATAAGATTTGTGTTGTTTGTATCGAGAGGCTCATCATTATAAAGTTGCTGTAGTTCGCACGTTCGGGGCTCGGGGTATATACTATTGGGTTTTTACGTAAGACTGAGACCTAGGGTGAGAATGGACAATATTCAGCAGGGAAGAAGACACAACTTATTGGCTTTGCGATCATGTCATGCCGTGCTCACACATATTTCATATAACGTAGAAACTCGCGAATTAGGCCTTGGTCTTGGTCATGAAAGCAGGTCGGAACCTCGATATGCCCATACAAATGTGTACCAGCTCCATAGTCTTATTCGCTGGGGGCGTCTTAAAGTAGGTCCTACTCGCGAGTTTCTACGGTACCTTCCTACGAATTCGAAGCTCACGTCAGATGTCTATATGCGAGCCGCACAGGTCAACAGCCCCCGTCTAGGAGCCTAGAGAGACATGTGATAGCTTCCCTGGCAGCATTTTTGAGGGTCTAAATCTTTACATACTCTTCCCCAAAGCATAGGAGAGAACATATTCGGATGGTTGCTATTCCTCCGTTGGCTAGACCGGCATTGGTTCTAGGCCGCCCATATCACTGATGGTTTAGCACTCTGTCCTTTTTAGATCCAGCTGGGCTCCAGGCGAGTAAATTTGAATTTACGCTTTCTGTTTCGAACCGTCATGTTCGATTCGTTGGCGAAGTGTGTGATCTGGAACTGATTCAACTTTAGCAGACTTATGCATTGGGCAGCTGTAGCTGCAGTTGGAGGCCTACGGGCGTCTATTGTTAGTGGCCACTCTTTAGTTTGTCTTTGGCCAGTAGGTATTGTAATATGGTGCATCATGTTGCCAGTAACCTATAACTATAGCTATACATGCAAATTACCTTCTGTCTGTCTTGGATGTAAGAAGCCTGACAAAGATCCTGGGAGATACAAGAATCCTGCTGAACCGGAGAGGAAGTAATTATGGCAGGCCGTATGCCTCTAGGAGGCCTATGAGGCCTAGGGAATGTAAGGGCTCCGCTCGCCCAGTGAGCAGGCTAGGAACCCAATGGGGGTAGACAGAGCAAACGCTGCATGCTTCGATTCGTGGATAAGTTAGGTGCCAGCGCCGATCACTTAATTTCCTTCGAAGCAAGCCCGGCAGTCTGTGGCGCGGGACGTCCCGCTCGTGTTGCATCAGCAAGTTAAAGTAAGCCTCGTACCCAACTTCGCAGCACCATAGCTAAACGGGGAAAGCCACCTACACTCACGAACCTCCACTCCATGGTGGCATCAACACACCCTATGACGCCAACCTAGCCATGATCACAAGCATCTGGTACCGGCATAAGTCGGGCTGCTGTAGGTTCTACACTCGCGTGACCGGGGAACACCTCGATACACCACCGAAACGGCTACGGCAGGTCTAAAGTGTTGCAGGCTGCGAGTAGCACGGTGATACCTAGGCCAAACACATGCCAATGCACGGCTCCTTCTGTAATTTTGAGCCTCTCCAGTTTCCCAGATCCCTTCTTGAATAACGCCCAGCCTCCCGTTAGCTATAGCTACCTCACTACACTGGACAGAACACCTTAATACGTATGTCCAGCTTGCTATACTGGTCCTTGCTTGTGGCATGTCCGGGCGGAGGTTCAGTGCGGAGGCGCACATGCAGAGGTCACAGCTGGAGTCGTTTAGGTTCCATCTGTGCAGGCCTCCACCAAACTCAAGGCCATCTGAAAAGCGCCTGAGGCTTTCGGGGCATTGACTCCTCACACTACAACTTCAACCTCATCAAACGAACTTGAAGCATAATCCCCACGAGTGTAAGGTAATAGAATGACATTGAGAAAACCTAACTATCTACTTCCTACACTGCCTTCCACACTAAGACTTCATTACCATAGGTCAATCGGGCTTAACTCCTCGGGTTCTTCTTCCTTCTTTCCTCCGAAGTGCCCCCAGTACTGCACCCAGACGCGATACAGCATGCATATCATTGACTTTTATTTTTGTTTTTACCGGAAAGTACTACCTCGTGGTGTTTCCCAGGTGGCCAACCCCCCAAAATGACAACACATGAATTGTTGCAAGTAAATGCTTGACCTTCTCCGGCAATTCCGGGGGGGGAGGGCTGTGCGCGCAACAATGTAGATTTTCCTACTTTTCAAACCACCGTTGTGTTTCTTCGATATCATCCGGTGGTTTTGGGCCCACTGTGGCTTTTATTAAGCATACAAAGGACAAAACATATAATCCCTTACTTAAACGAGTAGGTAATGCAACAAGGCTTGGGGTACCGAGTCCGAATTGGGATAGCTCACTCTCCTGCGATAAGACGCTCTACGAGCGGCTTGTGTACGAGGGGTTTTTGCAACCAGACCTACTAGAGATGAGATTTGCGTAGCAATCGCTGTGTGAGAGCTGCGACAGAGGAAGTATCGCCCGATTGAAGCTCCAGTAATATATATCAATTACTTGTGCTCGTTGATAAACTTAGCCAATAGCAGTGAGAAAATGGGACTGCCAGGCGCGGTGAGAGATGTTGATGGGCATTCATTCACTATGCCAACAGTTAATTCGCTCGACGCACGACTCTGATATTGATTTCTGATGGGCAACATTCCTTTGGAAGCCTATCGACTTCTTGCCCTAGCCGTGTGCTAGCACATGTACAGTCATTTTATACCGCCAGATAGATGTCTCTAAGGCTGCAAAATCACAATCCCCTATGATAGGAATATATATATATATGAGTTGTAGAGGCGAATGGGATCACTCGCACCAAGGAGTTCATGTGCTGGGGATGGTAGGGATGCTGGGGATTAGGAGGGCGTACGAGTAGAACTA